TGGGTCTTTGAATGGGCTAATTTAAACGGGTTTCAAGCAACAGACCCCCTTTAAGAAAGGGAAGTACTAGAGAATGGCAGCTTCTCATCTGCTGGCGATCCTGGTGGTTCATGGGAAGCCACTGGAAGTGCGGCAAGCTGACCACGCCTCGTCACAGATGCTGCTTCGAAAGCGGAGACAGTCTCTGATAAACGGCAAAGGTGCCTTCAGGGGCAGAAACTGAGGCAGCAGCCCCAGCCCAAAGCTTCCAGCACACGCCGCTTCAGCTTCGACTTCGCCTGACCATGCAAACTACTGCGCCAAACCCTCCTCCCCGACGTGATCGTCCTGGGAGCCTAGCTGTCATGCGCTGAGAAAAAGCGTAGAAGTGAGTGTAGCCATCCACTTCCACGACAACCTGCCGTGACACTGAAGCTTCTGGGAAACATCTCTGGCCCAAAGACAGTGCAGTACATTAGGCTATATTATGCCATACTATAGCATATCGCACAGCAGCACATCATATTATACTGTAGTAGACTATGTTATACTGCAGTATATTCTACTATGTTAGTAATTGTAGTATATCATGCTGTATGATATCACAGCAAAGTATATTTGTATATTGAGTTGGCAGATCAAATGCCCAACCTTCATCGGCAGGACAAAGTCGGGCACGTAGGGCCCGACAGCCTTGCGGTAATAGCTCTGAACCATCCCGGAAGGACTCCGTGCAAAAATACATACATACATACATACATACCTACATACATACATACATACATACATACATACATCCACACACATACATGCGTGGCAGGAGATCGTCATAGGGAGCCAGTCTCGAGTCTGCTCGGCACAACAGGTGGATCTAGACCAGTTTTGGAACCGGCATCAGGCTCTCGTGTGGCGACAATTTCAACTCGTGACGTTCAGCGATGCGAAGTCGCTGGCTGTAGCATGATCGCTCCGACCAGTCTTGAATCACGTCGGAGATTGCAGTGTTCTGCACCCCTCCCCGACATACTCAGCAAGATTGCATATGGTTTGCGGTTCTTCCTTGAGTCCTTGTTGCAAGAAAACCGCGAAATCCACCTGAAACTTCGCACATGCACTTCATCGCGCCTGCTCTGGAAGATGCGGCACATGCAATTCTTCGAAGTAGCGTTCCAGAGCGGCTTGGAGACGAGAGCTCATGGGCGGAGACCTGAGGGCTCCATCTTGCACCATCTGCGATAGATAGATAGATAGATAGATATGTATATATATATATATATACACATACATTCTTGGCGCTAGGCCCAAGAACCACATCTTTGGTGGCAGTGAGAACCTGACATGCTGCCACCATGAAGGGTCCCTTGAACTGCCTCACCGTCACAGTTAAGGACTTGTCATGGCATGTGACGAATCGACGAAGACCGCGAGCCTCTCGCAGAGCTCCGATGCAACGGCGTCGGACTTGGTCGTCCTGGCCACATTGCTTGCAAGCTTGCATTCGGCCACAGGCCACCGGGTCTTTCGGATGCTTCTTCCAGTCTGGAGCAAGCTGCAGTCAGGGTGAGTCGTACACGATACCAGCATTGCAACACAACAACCCCCACGTACGTACACACATGCCTGCATGCCGCACCCATCCGCACCCCAACATTGCGGAAGCTCCTCCATAGAAGCACGCATCTTCGGACGCAGCGCCTGTGGAAGCTGCACCTTTGTACAAATTCAATGAATCCGTAGAACGTCCAAGAGCAACAGGAAACATGTAGCGAGAATGGTAAACGATGCGCTGCCAGGCCGGGTGCCTGAATAACAGTAACCTGTTTCGCGGAGATTTCAATCAAATGCCACAAGAGTCATGTGGTAAAACTACGGTTGCGTTGCCCTTGGTTAATGAAGATTCGGCGACTAACCGAAACCGTCTGCGGGATGGACCGTCGCAGTCTAAACACGTGACCTGGGATTCCCACACAGTGGGCGATGATGCGCAAGGCGTGTATGCTGGCGGGATCCAAGCCGCGCGCCTTTCGCTCAATACATGGCTTTCAGGAAGCTTTTGGCAGCTGTCAACACAGAGCAGCGGAGGCTGTTGGTGCAGGCCTGCTTCACAAGGCGCTGCAGCGCAAATGACAGCAGTTCGCCCTGGGGCAGGTCCAGCGCCTCTGTTTCAGTTTGTACAGCGCACAACCAAAATGTGTTGCTAGATTGCTGGAGTTTGCAGTTCCAGAGTTTTGAGTTCCACGAAAGCATTGGCCTGTTGCCTGAGAAAGACAGATGCATTCGGCATGACAACCACTGAGGGCGCCAACCACAAGCGCAAAGGCAATGTTCACCAATTCCTTGCCGGTAAGATGCCGAGCGACAATCCACTTGGTCGGCATGATTGACAGGCCGGTCATCTGGCTACGGGCACTGCCCTAAGTCCTGTGAAATAAGGGCAGCCAGCGTGCCCAAAACAAAAGCTCATCTAACAAATTCCTATCGGCGCGCCTGCTGCGAAGCCTCGCCGAGCAAGCGGGGCAGCACTGTGGAAGACAAAGTCGCACCTGCGCATAGCATATGATAGTCCGCTATAGTCTAGTATGGACTGCTATCGTATAGTACAGTATATGATAGTTGTAGTATACTATTGAGGTACAAGAGAAACACGGGCGGAGGCCGAAGATCCATTCTGCTCAACTCCTAGGGGAGGACGAAACTGGCAGTATCGCTGCATGGAACAGGATGCTGGAGCAAGTGCAGCAAGTCGAATCGCATGGCCCTCCCGCCCCCTCCGGCCCCCTAAGGGCCCCCCTCGGCCTGTTCCATCAGATCCGAAGTCCAGCAATGCCAGGGCATACAGAGATCCGGCAGCCTCAACCATGCTGCTACAGATGCAGCTGACGTCAGCAACCCATGCAGACAGCGACACATACTACATACCACTGTTGTAACAGGGGACCATGGAAGACGCCTCCTCAACTTCGCACTCGAATCACGAGGGTGTGAAGCTGGCAAAGGCTCTGGCGGTGGATGACTCCATGTTGCTGAGCTTCTGCCTCACCGAGACAGATTCCGGACTGTCCAGAAGTAGTCTGAGCTGCTCATCCAAACCTCAAGGCCCCACCGATGGTTGAGAGTCGCTCCTGGAGCCCATCGTGAAAAGTCATCGGCACTTCTGCACTTCTGCACTTCCACGCGTGTCAACTCGAGAACCGTCCTCGTCGCGCAACGCGGAGCGGGCAAAGGCGATCAGCAGCAACGACAGGTCAAAGCTGTTGAACTGTTCCAGTTCCCGAGGTGAGACTGAACAGAGCTGTCAGGAGAGTTGCAGAGGGCCTCGTTGATTTTGGTGTCGAACTGCCAGCATTTTAGAAGCCTCTCGAGCAACCTGGTGTGCTGTTGCCAAACCAACATTACTTCGAGCAGTGCTCAAGGCTGCACCCAATGACCTCAGCCGGGGACGGTGCATCGAAATGTCGCAGCTTGCGAAGGTCACTCCTGTCGATCAATCCCAGTGAGACAAAGCTCAGCTGGAGCATCCCAAACCCCCAAAAGCCCCGAACCCTAGGCCCAAAACCCAAAAAAATGCACTAAGCCCCACGACTTTGCATACCTGCGGCTTACAAAGGACTCCCCAATAAACGGTGCCAGCAGCTCAAGAGTTGTGCCAGAAATCGCGGCGCCAACTCAGCGAGCTCTTCTGAGCCTGCAGAAAAAGGAGCCCAAGAAGACCAAAAACAGTGAAGTAGAATAGGAAGCAAAGTATAGTCTAGTCTGGCATGGCATCTTTTGTACAGTATAGTAGGTGTAGTACGCTGTCAGCATGACCTAGCATGGTATAAGAATACCGTATATATTTCAGTATGATTGCAGCTGTCAGGTCTCACCGCACTAAGGTCGGAGCACAACCTGCGGCAGACCGTGTTGAGCAACGACCTGCGAAGGTCAGAAGGCTCTCTTCGGCTGCGCACTCCGAGTCTGGCGGCCGCCTCTTTCGGAAGTTGACCCGGCACACTGCCCGCACAATGCGACAGAGATCCTGCCGGGCTGCAGCAAGGAGCAGCAACTTTGAAGGATGGCTGCTGAATGCGCAAATGCCGATGCAGCGGCTCATTGTGTCTAAGTCTAGGCGCCGCCGGCCATTGCACAGGCTACCTGCATGTGCCTCTCGCAGACATAGTCATGGGAGTTTTGTTTTTGCCTTTGTTTCTGCATGTTGTTTTGCCTGCAGGGGGTGGGTGGGTGGGTGGGTGGGTGGGGTGCGGAGGGGTGCGGAGGGGTGAGGGGGCTGCGGGGAGCTCGTGAGGTGTGGGGGGCTCGAGTCTTTACGTACAAATGGGCTTCGAAGCAATATACAGGGGGGGCATCGCTTAGATTAGATTTGATGCGATCTGTCATATAATCATTGCATTAGTCTATCTTATAATGATATTAACTCAACATGATATGTATATTGAGGTTATACAAACTGTGGCATCAATAGTGAGTTCCAGTTTTTGTAACACTGCAAGATATGTCACAAGTCAGTCTAGTGTTTTGTAAAAAAGACTACTATTGATGTCAGAAATCCGCATGAAAATGGCACACCCAAAA